TGCATAGCATCAGGTACGAGATCCCCTACCCACTCGTCCGCCTTCTCGAATCGAAATGTTACATGGGCGAGCGGCTGATCCGGATTCAGAAACGTCAAATGCTTGGCTTGACACTATCTTCTCCCACCTACATACAGTCACTTTCATGGACAACATCCGTCGCTTCCCACTCGTTTTGCGCTTAGCGAGGCTGATTCCAACCAGATGGACTACAACCCTAAGAAACAAGGTCACGGGATTTGCCAGAGAAAAGACAACAAGGTGGGCATTTTCCGCAGAGATCTCTTGCAAGGCTGACCGCTTACTAGACGACTCGAAAAGAGTGGCGACCGGCGCGACTTTCTGTCCAATGTCGTCGATAAGGTTAGAAGTGGGAAGGTCTCGGAGGAGGAAATGGCTGCTCATTGCTCTATCATAGCGTTCGTTATTCCTGACAATGCCCTGTCGCTCGAGAGCTGGATGACCGCTAACACAATTTCACTCCACAGCATAGCAGGCAGTGAGACAAGCGCAACATCTATGGCAACCATAACCTACTTCCTCCTCAAATCGCCAACCGCCTATACGAAGCTGACGACCGAGATCAGATCTCGCTTCAAATCACTATCAGAGATCGATATCTCATCCACGTCAGCATCTCAGCTCCCATACCTCCACGCCGTAATGGAAGAAGGCATGCGAATCGTCCCCACTGCATCTCTGGGCTTCTCACGGAACGCGCCAGGGCCCGGCGTGACGGTCGATGGTCACTTCGTGCCAGCTGGCACAGAACTCTACGTTAGTGCATGGACTGTCGCTCGAGACGAGCGGTATTTTCGTGATGCTACGACATTCAAGCCTGAACGGTGGATTGATCCGGACAATCAAGATGTGAAGGACGCGAGCCAGCCGTTTTGGTTAGGTCCAAGATCTTGTCCGGGTAAGAATTTTGCGTATGCGCAGATGGGGTTGACGTTGGCGAAGATGGTGTGGGCGTATGACATGGAGTTAATTGATCAAAATCTTAATTGGGAGAGGGACGTGAGGGTGCATTTTGTGTTGTGGAAGCCGGAGTTGAGAGTGAGGTCCGGGGAGCGTGCGGCGGCATTATGAATGCCTGCCGGTGAGTCGCCTTGAGGAGGCACGGTGCTGTGTCAATGGAATGGAACGTGCTGACAAGAGTACTGAAACAACAATGCTTCAGTGAGCAAGCTGACTCACGTTCGCGAGAAAATTGTGAGTTACCCCGTTCCTGCGTTCGCAGCCCTTAGAACGAACCACGATACTGTCAGTTGGTGTGTCGTTGGATATTCTACCGTCAGAAGAGTCAAGCCCCAATTATTGATATAATTAGATAGGCTGCACACCACCCACCACCGGCCTCGATAAAGCCTGCGCGGCCCGACCACCCTCCAAGCCCCCTTTCCCATCCTCACCAACCTTTTTTATCCTCGTTCCCCTCAAATCGGATTGATACCGCTCACTATCCCACTTAATCGTCCTCCGTCGCCCCTCCCCATCATCCCCATACCCAAGTTCAATAGAACTCCACCTCTGCGTCTTCCTCCTCCAATCCTCCACCCCATTCAAATCCACCTCCGCCGCATTATACCCCCTCGAAAACCTGTTCCTCACCAACACACTCCCCCTCTTCGCATCCCGCGACCCAGACACCACATTCCCCGGCACGGTGTCCCCCTCAGACAACTGGCCCACCTCCACCGGTCCATCCTCGTCCTCAACGGGTTGCACGCCCATATACACATAGAACAGATTCAGCGCCGGAATCGACAAGCCATGCCACACAATCGAGAACAGAACGAGCCAGTACACGACTGGTATCATAGCCCGTACCAGATCATTCTCCTCCTTCGTCAATGCGGTGCCCTCCTCAGGAAATAAATGCCGTGTATGCTCCACATAAAACACAGCACCAATCCCAATGGGCCCGAAATACCCCATGAAGAGCGCCTCCTTCCAATCCGTCACACAACGGCGCAAGCCGAACTTATAAACCGCGAAAATCGCGGGTATTCGCCGGAACAGCACGATCAACACGCCTAACCCGATCAACCGGGGAATTGTAAGACCCGTGCCATCTGGGTCATGGAATTGGCGCCAGGGGATGATGGTCCCGATGTACATGAAGCCGCCGAAGTTAAGGAGAACATCGATGATGGAGTTGTATTCGTCGTGGCGCTTCTCGGTTTCGAGGAGATATTGTCCGTTCCAGTTGAGGGCGTTGCCGGCCACGAAGCAAGACAATAGATCGTCTGTGCCGAGGATGCCGCAGGTGCCGAGGAGGAAGAGGGACATTCCGGTTGGGATGAGGAGGTAGGATTCGCTGTCGATCCAGCGTCTGGAGTTGTTGTTAGTATGGGAGAGAATATTGGTAGGAAGGGAGATCTTACTTCTTGAGCGCGAGTTTGGCGGCCCACATGGTGAGGTAGCCGAAAAGGGCGCCGTACACGATGGACATGAGGACGACGTAGCCCCAGGTTGTGAGGGTCCAGGTTCCGAGGGCTCTGCTGACGCCGCCGCCGAGACGACCGACTGCTTCGGATCCCTCGGCTCGCTTGAGCAGCAAGCTGCTAACACGTGTGGCGATGGAGAGTGCTCTCTCTGCGATGCTTCCTTCCTGCGATGCAGCTTTGATTTCTGCTGTAAGCTGCTCCGACTCAGCAAAGCGGATGAGGTACACCGCGAGCATGAGGAACGGGAACCCAAAACCATCGTTCGCCCCGGCCTCAGCCGAAATGATCTCCCTCAGATTGCGGCGGACATACTTGTCCGAGAACGGACCTTTAGCAACAGCCTGCGACAGAATAGGATCTGTACAGGTGACGCAGGAGCCAATGACCAATCCAGCCAGGAGTGTAATCTTGGGTATTGTTGCCATTACGCAGGCGGTCGTGCATAACCACATGATTGTCATGATGGGGAGCAGGCAGACGAGCAGTTCCTTCCATCTGTACTGGCCGTATCGTGCTGGAAGCTGGAATCCCGCGATAACCAGCTGGACGCCGATGACGAGGCGACACATGCCCAGGGTGATTGCGGGCTGTTGGCCGATGATGGCCTCGCCCCATTTTCTTGAGTCTAGCCATCGAGTTGCTAGGGGTCCCAATAAGACGCCGAATGCAACGGCGGGTACTTCGATTGGGGTCAGCAATGGGGACACTGGGAGGCTTGGGTTGGAATGCTCACACGCTTCACCTAAGTACCAGGCCGTTTTGATTTTGACAGAGATGAATCCATAGGCAAGTATGAAGAATCCAAAGATTGCGATGACGACGTTGAGCTCGCTCATGCCGAGTACAATGTCGTTCAGGCCAGCCATATTGAGGTGATTGCCGTTTGGTGTTGTCAGTCGACGACAGTGAATCTCGTTGAATGAATGCTAGGATAAGATAACTGTTTTTGACGTCGTCAACCAGCGATGACTGGAGAATACCCCTGCTGAAGCTTGGGAGGCTTGTAAATTAGCCTCGCTAGCATCTGTGTCGAACCGTAAGGCAAAGCTGGGTTGTTTAGGCTGCACAGAGTTCGCTACTCTGAGGTGATATGCAATAGAGTATCAAGCGCAAGTTCCGGCCAGCGGATGTGAGGGCGCTTTGAGCATGGTAGAGAAAGACAGCATAGGTTTGATATACAGAGGGATTGAGATCAACATCAGTGATAAACCAAGAGGAGAGCAGCGGCAATGATACGGGTACCAGATAGCCAAGAAGATTGTCGCGGCACTATTAGAGCTTAGACGCCCTAGTGCTGAGGCGTTCCTGACGCACCTTGGCTGTCGATCTTCGTTTGACGGTTGGAGACGACGTCCGCAGACATAACACTTCCGCTGATACAGCATACCGGAGTTCGCGGCTAGATCATGCTACAGAGAGCTTGGGCGCCATCAAGCCTGCATTGAGCGCTGCCAAGTGAGACTCACCTGGTATTGCCAAGTTCCAAGATGTCGGAGGAGAGTAGGGAGGAAGCCACGAGTGGATGCGCATTGAGCTTGGCGTCGGTAGCTGCACGAAAGCGGACTTGGCGTCGATCAGTGTGAGTGCCAAGCACCTCCTTAGTTTGCAGTTGTTTCAAGACTCCAAAGCACGGAAGAGCTCATCCGGAGCAGGTGCGTTGCCGACGCGCGGACATGCTTGACTGGCCACGAGGGTCTCACCTGAATTCATGCGCAGAAACGTCTCAAGTTGACTTTAGGTACAGTATCGACCCGCAGGTCTAGGGTAGTGATTCTCCTTGCGGTAGTATATCTAACGATACACCCTATGGTCAGTATCGTCCTTCGTTTTACTGGCCTCGGAATGCAGGAAGGGGGTAACTCACAACTTTCACGCGAACGTTGGTCAGCTTGCTCCTTACTGACAGAGTAGTTAGATAAAAAAAATGAAGGAGATCTAAATGGTCGCTGCCGGTTTTACCCCCATTTATATAATTCTTTGCATGCCCTGTTGAAGAGGTAAATCGCCTAAAACTCTGCGTGCACACCGGATAGATGTACCGATCTGCAGTAACAAAAGCTGCAGAAGGATGAGGAGGCTCGATTCTGGCGTTGGTACTCGACTCGTGATCGTCGGACTGACGTGATCCAGCAGCACCTATCTGTCCTATCGCTCCGTAGTTAGTAAGGTAGTTCTGAATCCAGAGGCTAGACAAATGAGTGATACTGTAAATCGCAGGGGTTTGTACATGTGCTTCGTGTGTTCGATAGCGCGCTGGATGAGTCGTTTAGGCTTCCTCGCATCGTATGGTCTGTTCTTCGTGGTTCGGTAGACAGAAATGAGTAATGCCGGAGTCGTGCATGCGGAGTGTGAATGTTGGACGGTAGAATGTCAAGTTAGGGCCGATTCTGTGGTGCCGTTGTGTTGTTTCTGTTGTTCTGAAGCTTGTGCAGTGTGACTACTGGGCCTGCGCATGGAATTCATGTGAGGCTGCCGCGATATACACCAAGTGATACGCGCAGGAACTTAATCTTAGAGACAATGTTTTGCCCCAACAATGGTAAGATCGAGCGTGTGGCGCAGTGGCAGCGCATTTCGTTTGCATTAATCTGAGGGAGGGGAGACCTGGTGGTTTCCCCTCCCAAGATTAAGTCGAAGAGGTCATCGGTTCGATCCCGATCTCGTCCAAGTTTCTTTTTGCTTTTTGTGTGTGCTCTCTGAGCTGTGGAAGTTATGTACTGTGACAGTGAACTTAAAGAAAGGCACGATCAATGTATCTGCTGATAGTGGGTAGGGCAGGGTGAGCAAAGCTAGAGTCGGCCGCAACGTCAGTGAGCTCGAAAAGACTTTTTAGAAAAAGTGAAGTGAATGTGAGATAATCGGTATACCTGTCTGATGAGGAGATGTCATATCCATGATAATCTCTTTCGTAGTCAAGCTGAAAGAAAGAAGGGTAGAGCTCATATTCACTGCGCTGCGTATTTATCAACCCATTCATTGTCGTGTACCGCGTGCGATATCTCGTTAGTAGCACTCAAAATTCCTTCCTTCGTATTGCATTCGTCGTCGGTATTCACCCTGGTGGTACTACCAATTGGTCACAAAAGCGACTCAAGTGAATGCAGCTCCAATAGCAAGTTCTCCATAATTTCTCATCTACAAGAACGAATGCAAAGCCTGCTCAACCACGGCACCAGCTGCACCAGCACCGATCACAGTCCACAACCAAGAGTTGTTGATCTCCTTGCTCAGATCAGGCCAGAACGCGTTCTTCTCCTTCCTGTACTTCTGCAAATCGGTGTGCTTCTCGGTGCTGCTGACTGAGTAGCGACGTTCTTGGCTGTTCTCGGTTGCCTTGTCGCCGCCGAGGTAACGGAGGAAGGCATAGTTAGCAACGCTGCCGAGGAGCTCGATTGGTGCGAGCATGTCGGATGCGTAGAGGAGGAGAGGGAACGAGAAGTGGACGAGGGCGTCGCCGAGGTAGCTGTGGGTTTGTTAGTATCGCAGAGTGTAAGGAATGCGATAGCAATGCTTGACAGGATTCTGAAGAGAGCACTACATGCCCAGTTGCACGCTTAAAGGACACCGAGCCAACCATACACGTGTCTTTGTACGGGTTGGCGAGGCGTGAAAGGGAGAGGACTTACTTAGGGTGACGGCTGAGAGACCAAACGCCTTCCTTCATCAAGGAAGTCTCATCTGCACTGCTTGTCTTGTGTTCGTCCAACTGCTTGTCGGCGAGCGTTTCAAGGGCGAATCCGGTAAAGAATAGACCAACAGCAAGAGACTGTAGGAATGGATGGTAGCCGGTAAGGACGGCGCCCTGGTGGTAGAATGGAGCAGTCATGGGCAGAGTGATCAGAACCTGGAACAAAGACTCGGGGAGGTAAGTCGAAAAGAGTGCCTTGTTCCAGAAACCTGGCTCAGACTTCATTTCATCGTACCGTGGGTCGTCTCTGCCTGCTCTTCGTGCTCGGAGAAAGAGGCGAGTGAACAGTCGACCTCCCCAAAGGGTGGCCCCACCGAGAATGAGCCGTTCCGGACGGGAGAGAGCACCAAGAGCTTGACTGACAGGAATACCTCGCTGGACGACACGTCGACCAACAGCACCCCACCAAGCATTAATGATAGGTGCCACGGCCCAAACGTAGTCTTTGGTGTATACATGATCGTTCATGCGGCCTAGCCCGTATGCAATGACGGAGAGACCTCCATGAAGCGCAACAGATGGGTAGATACAGTCGCTGAATATGCCGACATCGTATAAAGTCCTCTGCCACGGGTAATGTTCTGTGATGGTTGATGGACGGTCGGGGGCATCGAAATTGATGCTTCCCGCGTAGGTCGACCTGCCCATAGACATCTTGTCTGGTCCTGCTGATCCTCAGCAACCGGTCGCGGATGGCGAATAGATGAATATGGATAGAAGTTGGATGTCCCAACGTCTTCAGAACAAGAACTTGTTCTACAATGGTAGAGGTGTAGTTGAAGCTTCAACTCCGCGTGGGAGCTTCTATGACATCAAACGAGAAGAAGGAAGCCTTAAGCGGCGTTGCGAAACACGATGTGGTTCGTGCTTTCCAACGATGGTGGGGATCGGAGATGTCGGAAGTCTGGGGCACTCTGACCAAAGCATGATATTTGATTGGTTGGGTCTGTCACAGCCTTCTCTAGTGCTTCCAGTGGTGATGGGCGGAGGAAGCTCGTGATTCGTCCTTCTGTAAGCAAGGCGGTCGGGACTGTGTTTCGTCCGCGAAGTACCAGATTGCTAGGGTAGCATTTTGGACTACAAGATGATGCTTCCTGATAGAGAGAACGGTGAAGATGCTTCGTTGAAGCGATACAATCATATCGACACCACGGCGAAACTACACTCTTGACCGAGCGTTGCATGATTCTCAAAATGAGGAAACAAAACGGCCCTGTTCTAGACTCTAATACTCATTATCACGACCACCACTGGTTTTAATGTGGCCCAGATCAAATGTGAGGGCCTAACGATCACATTACTGAACAACAAACATACTCGTTCAGTCCTTCTTTCAATCTACTTCTTTCCTTCTCGACAGCTCTCTTCGGTCTGACCATCTCCAGCTTCTCGTTTCCCTCCTCGTCATATGTTTTGCGAATGATAGTACCAGTGCTGATAGGCGAGAAAGGCGGTACAATGACATTGATGGTCTTTGTTGGTGATGGTGGTAACGGTACGGGAGGAGTGTATGCTGGGGTGGATGACGCTGGAGGAATGTTGGCTGAGCGTACACGAATAGGAGACGGCGTGAGAGGAGGAGTGAAGTTTGCCAGTGAGACATCGATCACCGGCGGCCTCTTCGAGGAGTCTGTTCTTCTGGTTTTGTGCCTAGAGCTGCTTTTGGTGGGCGTCTCAGGGCACTCATTGTGTGCCTCTTCTGGCTCAGGTACACAGCCTAATTGCCAGTCACGAACCTTGTCCTTAGCACCGAGGCCCAACTCGTGGTCAATGAACGGATCATTAGCGTTGTTCAGACCGGTTTTGAAGAATGCTCGGTTCGCTCGTTGGACTGGACAGCAAGTCGGGCAGCATGGACCGATGTACTCGTATGTAGATGCAGGTTTCATATCGGAATGATGCGTGGATCGTAGCTGGCTGTCTTCGCATGTGCATATACACGAGCAGCTGGACAATGGGGAGATCATGGTTGGAAGCGCCTCAAGTCTTGCGTGTCTTGATCCAGCATCTTGGTGGTACTTAGATCGTTCTGGCGCCGACAGAGCCCTCCCGTGTTGAAACGCTGGGGCGCCGGCTTCCGCTGTTTTGGCGTTGAGATTCAGCCCTGGCAATGGAAGAGCAGCTCTTCGCTTGCGCAATGCCTTTTCAAAGGCCTCGGTGAAGCTAGAATTCTGAGACGACACTAGATTCCAAATACAGAACTTCTGGTAGTCCAAGCCTGCTTGTTCATGGCGCATATATCGACCAGCGAGCCCATGGACAAGAATTGTTACGGTAGTACTAGTGAGCTTGTAGTCTCCACACCCAAGCAGGTATTCAAGGTCTTCCTTCGTAATGAGCGGCTTCTCAGTAGCGAATTGCTGCATGCGACTCAAGAGCACACGTTCGAGGAATGGTATGCGTAAGATCTTGGCGCTCAGTCGAAGCTGAGCCAGAGTCATATAGGACTTGGTGCGGAAGTTCATGGTCGCAAATGGACCCTGTCCATCATGAAGATTGCCTGATTGTAGGGTTGCTGTAGCTGTCAGGTTTGCGGAGCGTAGTATCCAGTTAAAGACGGTGCGAAAGGCCGATAGGGATGGACCGCAGAGAGTGTAGGCTTCGACTGCCGGGCTTGTTTGGTTTGTGCTCTTTCTACCTATGTGCGTTGGGTCGCATAGGTCGTGAAACAAACCAGAGTACTTCGCGAGCGTATCCAGAGCGATTGGTCGGGCCAGTATTCTCGTTCGGCTGTTTGGTGTGGAAGGATGGCGGTAGAACAGGTCGAGCTCTCGAGCAATCATATTGTTGCTTATGACCACAACGGGTATTCCTAGCCTTAGGCTCTGTTATGGTGTGCTAGGCGATCGCAATGTCTTCAGAAAGCCCAACGATGAAGCTAAGTCAGTTGGCGCCTCGCGTGTGTTGCTGCTGATGAGCAACAAATAAACTGCGTTTCAAAAACAGTATTCCGGCTGACCATTCTGTTTGCCTTGTGCGAACAAGCAATGGTGATATGCTGTCCATGAACATGCTGATATCCATGCACCGGTATCAGTGAACGCCACTTTCCTTACAAGCGGTGCAGAGGCAGATTGAAAAGTTGGACATATCACTGGCTGTTTGTCTTGCTCTATTTGGCCCACCCACAACGGTCCCCCGTCGCAGCGCTCCTGGCATTTATTTCTTCAGACTCGCCTTCACCACTCTTGCCAGCCTTTCGACGCCTTCGTCCAGCACATCAAAATCAGCATATGCGAAGCAGAGACGAAGGTTGTGGTTGAACTGCTTAGCCTCGTCAGCTTCATCTCCTTGCACTCGAGACTGTGCGCCGGAGCAAATTGTTAGCTCCTCTTCTTCTTGTGCTCTTCTCCGGATCTCCTCTCCGTCGAGCTCCTTTGGCAGGGTGAGCCATATGAAATAGCCTCCTGCAACCTCCTTGTCAGGCTGAGGTACAGTCACGCCAAGAGGGAAGAGTCGCGTTTGTACTGCTTGCATCATTCTTCTGTATCTCTTCGCATATGCTGGAAGCAACTTTCCTGTGATGTGCTCGTCGAGGTCGCCAGTGATGATCATCTGGTGAATCATGCAGGCGACTAGGTGTGACGGTGCACCTCCAGACCTCGAAGAGCCGCACTGACTCAGTCCCCATGCCAACTTGGGCGATGCTTCGGCCCACCCAGTTCTACAACCTGGGCCAACGATCTTTGAGAAACTCCCGTTACTCATCGCGTTGCCCCATTCGGATGTTGGTCCGCCATCGAGATACCGATCGACATCCACGATTCTTGGCATCGCAGATTTTGCCATCACGCTCTTATCTGTCGAGGTAGCCGCCGGCCACTGAAGCATGTCATAAACATCATCCGTGATAATCAGTGCGTCGTACTTCCGTGCTATCCTTACCAGCTGCTCTCTCCTTCGCAGGCTCATTACTTTACCGGAGGGGTTTGCGAAGGTTGGCACCGCATAGATAATGTGCTTGTATGTATGCTCTCTC